CTATTCTATTCTATTCTATTCTATTCTATTCTATTCTATTCTATTCTATTCCTGTCTGTCTGTTTGTCTATATATCTATCCTATCTATCCATCATCTGTCTGTCTGTCTGTCTGTCTGTCTGTCTGTCTCTATCTATCTATCTATCTATCTATCTATCTATCTATCTATCTATCTATCACCTATCTGTCCATCTATTCATCCATCCATCCACCCATCCAATCATCTGATTCCTGAGCATGGATGACTCAAGAATTCTGGGAGTTGAAGTCCACAGGTCATACAAATGCCATAGCTCCTCATTCCTACTCTAGAGCAGGGTTGTCAAACTCTTGGCCCGCAGGCCAGATGCGTCACACACTGGCCATACCCACGCTCGGTTTGGCGAAGGGGAAAAAAATGCCGATACATCACGTGATGCCGACATGACGACATGAATTTGACACCCCTGTTCTAGAGTCTAGATGGTCAAAGCTTTTTTTTTTTTTTTGCTTTGGCTATCCGCATCTGATATTTCTATGCAATCTGGAAAGACGAAAGTGCTGATCAGCAAAATTAAGTTCTTTACAAGCAAACTCATACAATAATAATCTCTTTAACACCAACGTCCATGTTTATAGCACATAGAGTGTATGCTTTAAAAAAGAAATGACAACTCTATTAAGAGTGGTACTATTCTATCAGGAAGCAGCATATGTTAAAAGCATAATTTAGGCTTATTAAAAATAATTGGCTCTTTCTCATCAATACTGCCTACAAATCAGTTTTCTGTTCATCCAATTTCTTTTTTTAGTGTTCTAAAACACATCTGCTCTGTGTGATAATGGATCATTAGTTATCAAAACTTTCTGCTTATCACAAACAAGTCACTAGTTGTATTCCTAAATTGCACTAAGCTTTGGTTTACTGGTTTAGTTCAATAACACCCCAAGTGAAAAACTCATTAAACAAACCACGGTAGCATGATTTATATGAACATAAACTAGAAAAGGACCCCCAAATATCTAAACCCAGTTCCCCAAACTTTCTTTAAAATTCAACTAAAGTAAGCATCCAAAGCAATGTCAGTTTTTAATTTTTGATTTCAAGTTGATTTTAAAAAATTAAACAGCTGTTTTTGAAATGTAATACTATTGTAAATTTCATCAAATAACCTCCACTTAGTGCTTCATAAAAAGTATCCTCAATTTTCAGGGGTCTTCTAGAAATCATTCTTTTGATTTCTGAATCACCAGAACTCATGTTTTGGATTTATTAAAAAAAAAACTGGGTTTCTTAAAGAGACACAACTCGGGGATATTTTTACATACACTTCTGTTGAATTTCCCAAGATGGAAATTCAACATTTGATGAGTATGGATGCTGACCATCTTCAAAATTAAATACAGAGGACCAACATTTCCGGAAAATACACAATATAATTTTAATCCAATTTGGAGCTTCAAGAGGAACAACTCAACCTTAGAGGGCCCAGTCAAAAGTTTACAAATTGGCTTTGAGGATAGTTCTTCTCTGTTATTCCTAAAACAAAAAAACAGATGGAGTGGAGTATGAAGTTAGTTCTCTTGCCAGTCCAGCCTTCTCCATCGTTTTCAAAAGTACGACAGCCATTTCAAGAGGAGAAGTCCCATGGAGCAATCAACTGTGGAAAGATGACCAGCTCATATCCGACGTGTAAAATTCTGTCTCGGCTGGCCACTGTTCCAGTTTATCTTCATCAGATCTGTCACTCTCGTCTCCGCTAGAAACTTCATAGCCAGCCACGGGAGAATGAACTGGCTTTGTTTCATCTCCAGATTCCTTCTTTTTAGCCATCAGCTGCTTGTAGCAAAGATTGCAAACCCTCAATGGTTTGGAGGACAGCCGAGGCATGAGAAACCGCTGGCGGGAACAGTCTCCGCACACCACGAAGCCACACTTTCGACAGTGGTGTCTTCGGATGAGCGCCGAGAACTTTGTATGGGTGCAACGCATACAGATATCCGTTGCCTTATCTGGAATCCAGGGAGCTGCGTATTCCGTCGGGGGCTGTTGTCCCGTTTTGGACAAAAGGTGTCGAATGCATTCTTCCAGGTGACTGACCCACTCTTTGCGCTCGGTCAGCGAGGCTGCCGAAACCACAAAGGACTTCTTGGAGGTCTTGATCATCCATCGGTTCTTCATTTGCAAGGTGTCCGGCAGAATCTCCAGAGTGACTTCATCCAAGGGGATGATGTGTTGGCAGCTGTATTTCCGTTTGTTGATCACAATGCTGCCGTACACCAGGATGTCGTTGAAAAGGAAGAAAATTCGGGGCTTGGCTTTCTTACGGCATTCTTTGGTCAAAATCCCTTCGCCCAAAAGGACCCTTCCTGACACAGCTAAGGGCTGGCCGGAAGTCCCAAAGCAGTTTTCTACTGCGGCAATCCGTTGACTGTTGATCTCGGTATTAGCCAGGTAATCTACCATTTTGAGAAGTCACCTGCAAAAGAAACCAAAAGGTAAATGACTGTTCTGACCAAGGCTTCCTGAGACTGTAATTAAGCACAAACTTAGTCCAAACAACTCTCTTTTTATTTCAACCGCTGGGAATTATGTTCATTCTCAGCCCGTAATGAGTCCCAAACAGTCTCTCGAGATAAGAGATAAGTCTCTCTTTATCTCCTTTGAATTGCTGCCAATAACTAAAGTGCCAAATTAGCAGTAAAAAGCCAGACAAAGTCCACACAGACTTCAAGGTTTAATCCAAACAGAGCAAACAACGTTGCTTCCTGCAAAGGCTCCTGTCCCTTTGCTCCTCCTTTATGTCTTATGGGAGGGGCCAATCACCTCCAAGCCTTACTCCCAAGTCGCCCCTTTTGTCTTAACTGTTCTTGCCTTCTGGCAGCTCTGCGCAAGCGCGCACTGGGAACAGGCTCCCCTTGTTCCTCTGCCTTGTTGCTGTCATGTTCTGGAGGCTCTGGAGTCAACACACAACTCCCAGATGGCCCTGGCCCCATCTCTGTTATCGGACACAGGACCAACGTCCGAGTCCTTCCCAGACTGGCCCATGTTCCTCCCCACTGTCCGACTCTGCTCCCATCTCCGTGGGCTGCTGGCGGACAAGACAGCAGTGACAAGACCAGGCCCCATTGGTTCTACAGTGTCATCAAAGCATGAAAAATAAACCCATCTATCTTAAAGAGTGATTTCACCATGGGCGAGACTGAGGATTTTGAAAAGCAACCCGTTTTTACAGCAGCACGATACTGGAACTCTTTCCTGTTTCATCCCTTGGAGTGTAACTTTTAAGGTTAAGACAAGAACAGAATCTATACAACAGGGGTTTTGAACTCAAGGCCCAGGGGGGCAGATCCGGCCCATGGGGTGCTTAGATCTGGCCCATGAGGCCACCCTGGAAACAGTGAAGGACCAGCCCACGGTGCCTCTGCCAAAAAAAAATGGAGCTTTCAAGGGCTGCAGGATGCTGTGCCAGCCAAAAACGGAGCTTGGGAGCCTGTTTTTACTGGCAGAGCGCTCGGGCCACTACAGATGCCTCTCGACATGAGTGACATCATACCAGCCATGCCCACCTTGCCACACCCACCCTGGCCCTCCAAGGTCAGACACAACCCTGATGTGGCCATCAATGAAATTGACTTTGACATCCCTGCTATACAAGGTAGCCCTCAACTTACCACGATTCGTCTAGTTTACAATAGCACTGAAAAAAGTGACTTACAACTGTTTTTCACACTGTTTTTCACCAGCATCCCCCTGGTCAGGTGAACAAAATACCAATAGCACTTAGACTTATAACGCTCCATAGTACTTTCCAGCCCTCTCGAACCAGTTTGCAGAGTCAGCCTCTTGCCCTTCCAACAATCTGGGTCCTCATTTTACTGGAAGGATGGAAGGCCGAGTCAGAAGGTTGAGCTGGTCAGGATCGAACTGCTGGCAGTGGAATTCAGAGTTTGCCTGCGATGCTGCATGCTAACCACGTGAGCCACTACGGTTTTCCAGTCGGACACTTAGCAATTGGATCCTATTTATGACAGCTGCAGCGTCCCTGGGTCATGTGAAGCAGAGGTGTCATTCAGCAGGTTCTGACCAGTTCTGGAGATCTGGTAGTGGAAATTTTGAGTATTTTGGGGAACTGGCAAATCCCACCTCTGACTGGAGATTTTGCACTATCCTTCCTCTGCCACGCCCATCAAGCCATGCCCACAGAACCGGTCGTAAATTTTTTTGAATCCCATTGCCTTTTGCAACCCTCTGACAAGCAGAGTCAATGGGGAAACCAGATTCACTTAACAACGCTGTCAAGCTGTCACTAACTGAACACCTGCAGCAATTCACTTAACTGTGACAAGAAAGCTCACAAAATGGGGGAAAGCTTAATTTAACAACGGCCTTGCTTAGTAATATGAATTTTGGGCTCCGTTGTGGTCATAAGTCAGGGACCATCTGTATAGAACAAATCCACCTATTTGGCAATATCTTTTGGTATTTTTCTTCCTCAACTGTGGATGGAAAACTACACGTTTTTCTGTGATTCAAGAATGCCCAGCAGAGACAGAAGGTTAGTAAAGAGATTGTACTTTGTTCTACTTTCCTTGCTTTTAAAAAAGGGAGCTCCTATAGAAAGCGAAATAATAAGGAAAATATTTGTCTGTGCAGGGATGGACAGACTAACTCTAGCGATTAAGGATAAGGGTGAGACAGAGTACTATGAAGTCTGGAGTAAAATATATCAACAGTTGGAGTCGAGGGGAAAAAAAAACAAAGAAATTGTTGACGCTTTATAGGAACGAAAGTAAAAGTTTTGTAAATTAAAGAAAATGAAACATGATATGACAAATATGATATGAATATAAAGATCACAAAGAGAAAAAAGATGGATAAGAAGCAAGGTTGTAAATT